TTTATACAATTTAGTTGAGTGAAAAAACAATTTTTTATACATTTATATAGTGTAGGACCCCAATAAAGAATTTTGAGTTTTCTTCCGTGTTCTTAAGGTGCACATGGCCTACTCCCACTTTTCATGGAATAGCAAGTAGGTTTTTCTTTTCTTTTTTTTGTAAAAGATCCAATTCTTTTATGATATCAATTAACTAAGATCTATAAAATAAGCATAAAATTTGCCAAAATTTTTAAGGACTCTAATTATGAGTGTTTAGTAAGAAAAAAAATGAGAAAGTAAAAAAAATAATGTTGAAAGGTTAAATCTTAATGTGAAATAGTTAAAAATGAAAATAATAAAATCTAAAGTTAAATATTGAAATTATAATAATTTAACTAAGTAATAATGTAGTTTGCAAGTTGTACACTTTTTTTTGAACGTTTTTCATTTACTATTTAAATTTTTGTTCTAGAGTAAATTTGCTTTGTCATTTCATATTACTTGTACAAAAAAAAAATTGGGGTGTTGTCCTCGTAGCCTCGTATTTTCATGACCAACATTGCCACCAGGCACCAACGACCATATGTTGTGGATCCTCCATTGGTTTGGGGAAGGTGTATGTACTCAGAGCTTATCCTTATTTGAGAGTAGATAAAGATAAGTTGTTTCCAAACGTACCCATTTGCTCAAACATCATATGTAATCATGTACGTTATGTTTAAAATATGAAATGATTGTTTGTAGATGATCTATGATGAAAGTCAAAAGTTGTTTTTAGTAATTGCTATTTTTCTCTTCCCAAATTAAGTTGCATGTTTTTTTATTCATATGGTCAAATTTTATTCACTTTATTTTCCTGTTTTCGATACTCATTTTGATAAAACAATATACTCATGTCGATCATCTCTTGTTTTGCAAAGCAATATTATCAAAATATTTTTTTTTCTTATTACTCTTTGTATTTTGATTATTAAAAAAATATACTCCGTACTAAATTATCAAAAACTAGTAAGAAAAAAGAGTAAATTTCATAATTGGTCTTTTATAACAAGGATTTTTCATATTTAGTTCTTTATTATCAAATATTACTTCTGTAATCCTTCTTTTATGTGTGCATTTCCACAAATAGTTTTTTAATCTTCTATAATGTTAGTATTAATTTGAGGACTAAAAGTATAGTTTGACATTAATTTTATGTTCAGTGATGTATTCTGATATTGGTTAGACGAATAACATAAAAATAATGATTACGATTGTGAGCTAGGATTTTGACGATACACATTTGTAGACTATGGTGCTAGTATGAAGTGATTTTAATTTACAAATGACGCATCAAGAATGCCTTTGAAAATATGTATGCCAAGAAAGACATGTTATCAGGAAGAAAAATCAATGTATTTCCAAATAGTAATCTCAAAATAGTAGTATATTAATACAAAAAGTATCAGTGATCTAATGATTCTTTTTCCTCACATTAATTTAAAAAACTAAAATTACCGACCTTATAATTGTATAATAAAAAATAGGATTCTTCTCATCCATAATTCCAACTACCCCCCTCCCCTCGACGCAATGATTATAAAAAGTTATTATTCTTTCTTGCATTATTAAAAACAAAATCTTAAATTAGTGATTCTAAATCTATATGATTAGAATTTTTAATTTTAAAATGTTAAGATTCAATTATTCTTCTCCCCCGCATTTATTTTAAAAAACATTAAAAAGTTAGTACTCCAATGATTTTGTGGGGTAGTATTTCCGTCAAGATATAAAATGTTCTATCAAAATACAAATAGTAACAAATTGTATTTTCTTTAATGTGGTTGTAACCTGTAATTTAGTCTCGAACTTATTGGCTATTTTACTTTGGATTTTTTGCACAATTTTTCTTACATTTTTTTATTATCCTCGATCTTCATCTTCACAAATCCCCTCACGCTCCCCCTCCACACCTTGATCTTCTTGTCACAATCATCTTTGCTTAAATATGTAATGTCGCATAAAATATCATCCTATGAAGTTTTCATGTATGATTGTGTAAATGAAAATGTATGAAATAAGTCATCTCTTATTCAAAATTTTTTAATTTTATGTATAAACATTTTTAATTGTAACACAATATAAGTATGTATTGTGTAATTCGTAAGTTAGAATATAAAGTTATTTTGATTAAAATAGTAAATCAAGTTACCAAGATAAAGTATAAAAGCCTTATTACATCTTTTTTCTAATTTGTTTATTGTAAAAATTCAATATTTTAAAAATAGTCAAATTGTATGAAAATACTTTTATTTCATATTAGAATTAGTCATCTTATCATAAACAAAAGTTCTAGGTAAGATATGCATTGAGTCAATCTCTTGGTATACGTATTATCCATTTCTCTAAAAGTAAAGTACATAATCATGACATGTATAATTTTCTTAAAAAATATTACCTCCGTCCCAAAAAGATTTACACGTTTTGACTAAAGTTGAAATTAAGGGAGAGATAATTTTGTGTTGATTTTCTAAAAATACTCTTGATGTGATGAGTAAAAGTAGGATTTGATTTGTAGATTATTAGAAAAAAGGTATGATGTGATAGGTAGGGTTTGAAAAAGTAAGGAGTAAAAATGGTTTTTTAATGGAAATGGGTAGGAGATTGTGGGATGCAATTTTCTTGAAATGTGTAAATCTTTTTGGGACAGAGGGAGTATAATCTTAAGCCTTTAAGTCACCTAATTATAAATTTTTTGAGTAATCTCAAAATAGTATTTCCAAATAAGGTATTTTTCTAAATCAATGTTATTAAGCATTAATTATCGATGTAGTACTTTATAGATGAGATTTATCTACTCATTGTCCTCCGTATAAAATGTTTGTTAAATGAATCTTTGGTGGAGGAAATTTAGGTATTTTCAACATTTAAATGTAGAGTAATTTTTCAAAATGACCCTTTCGGATTAACCTTTTTTCAACTTAGGTCTCCGTGATACTACCTTCGTCCCAATTTATAACGCCTGTTTCGGTTTACGATGTTTGACTGAAATTATTTTCAAACCATTTTATATGACAAATGGTATAGAATTAGAAAATAAAAATTACATATTAAAAAACTACATCAAAAGATCTACAAAACTAGTAGTGACAATAATATTTTATTTTATCAAATTGCTAACGAAAATAGAGAAAGAAAGTGAATGAAATTTGACCCGGTGAATAGTAAACAGGCATTATAATTTGGGGCGGAGGGAGTAATAATTATAATTTTATCCCAATTGTGCATTTAGCGGCACCCCAATGTTTTGTGTCTCTCTATTAGCCACTCATGTTCACGCTGGTAAATTTCGAATGAGGATGACCTCGCCTCCGATCCCCCACTACATATCTATGTAGAATTTTGATAAAATTCACGTATGAAAAATACGTGATTTGTTTTTTAAATATTGTTTTGTTGTATATATCCCATGCGAACACTTTTTGTGCTTTTTAAAAAGTAGTAGTCGTAACTTCAATTAAGTCAAAAGTGAAATACCTATAATTATTTTAAAATGTTTTTATAAATTTTCTTTGTGAAAACCCTTGCAACTATATTTGTTTTTGCTGTTTAAAAATAAATTCATATTAAGCGGAAAAAATTTTGGATGTAAAATACATGTAATTATTTTTACGTGATGATTTTTTAAAATTTTATGTAAAAAAATGTAACTATATTTCTTTTCTTACTTGTTTTGAAAATAGATTCACTTGACAATTTAAACAAAACTCGACTGTAAAATAAATGTGATTGTTTTTAATTTTTTCAAATATTATTTTTTCAAATATAAGTTCTGTAAAATAAATGTGATTGTTTTAGGAATTTTTTTATAAGTATATTTTTTATGAAATTATTTGAAATTTTACAAATTGAAATATAAAGATTTTTAAAAGTTTTTTACTAATATATTTTAAGAAATCTCATGGGTTAAACGTTTTATTCAAAAAAAATGAACAGGGGATTAACAGATGGAGTTACTAATCCTTATGATAAACCCTATGAAACAAAAAAATCCACCCCATATTAATTTTGTCACTATGAATTCTTTCTTCATCTTGAGTTTTTTTAGACACGAAAAACATTTTGTTAGTCACAAATATGAATTTGAAATTTTAAGAAAAAGAGTATTATTTTGATTATAAATAAGTTTAAAAAATAAAAACAATAGATATAAAAAATGAAAAAAATGAGAAATGTAACTAAAATGAAATAAGATTTTTTTCTAGTATTAGAGAATACATTGTAATAGAACTAGTATTAGTAAAAAAGAATGAAATAAGATTTTTTTCTCTTTTATAAAACATATCTATATATAAATATCTTGATAAATGGTTAAAGTAGATAGTAAAAAATCAAATAAAAAGATTAAATTGAGAGAAGTATCTAAAACACTAGAAAATATCGTTCTCGAACAAACATATGCCTTGATTAGAAACAAAATTTTCGATTAGCGTTAGCGTTTCGAATAAAAATATAATAGTTTAGATTAAATCTCAAAACCATAGAGCCCATTATCAAAATGTGGTTTCCAATAAGAACAGCTGGCTGTGCTTGGAGCCAAAGCCATNTTAGCGTTTCGAATAAAAATATAATAGTTTTTTTAGACACGAAAAACATTTTGTTAGTCACAAATATGAATTTGAAATTTTAAGAAAAAGAGTATTATTTTGATTATAAATAAGTTTAAAAAATAAAAACAATAGATATAAAAAATGAAAAAAATGAGAAATGTAACTAAAATGAAATAAGATATTTTTCTAGTATTAGAGAATACATTGTAATAGAACTAGTATTAGTAAAAAAGAATGAAATAAGATTTTTTTTCTCTTTTATAAAACATATCTATATATAAATATCTTGATAAATGGTTAAAGTAGATAGTAAAAAATCAAATAAAAAGATTAAATTGAGAGAAGTATCTAAAACACTAGAAAATATCGTTCTCGAACAAACATATGCCTTGATTAGAAACAAAATTTTCGATTAGCGTTAGCGTTTCGAATAAAAATATAATAGTTTAGATTAAATCTCAAAACCATAGAGCCCATTATCAAAATGTGGTTTCCAATAAGAACAGCTGGCTGTGCTTGGAGCCAAAGCCATATTAAGAAGGCCATATTATTAAGAGCCGCGTAGTTAGGAGAGTTGGTTAGAATTGTTTTCCCCTGTGCGAGGCGAAGAAGAAGAAGAAGGAAAAAGATCGAAGAGGAAAATGGGCGAAGTAATCGGCTGCCATACCGTCGACGCCTGGAACCTGCAACTCCAGAACGGCAACGATTCCAAGAAACTCGTACCATTTCTAACCAGATCTCGTCTGTTTATTATTATTATTATTGCTATAATTATTTTATAAATCTTGTTATGTTCTTCCTAATTAAACTGCAAATGAAATTTTACCTCCTTTCGATCTGATTTTAGTCGAAAGGATTCGTTATGTGCATGGATGTGAACAGCTAATCTCTCTGTTCATTCATGTCAATTTTTTTTTTTCGGAACTGAATTTCATCTCGGATGGGATTTCTTATTTCTACCATGGTTAATTTGTGCAGTCGGTTTTTAATTGTTCCTTGTCACCACTGTAAATGTGAAAACAAAGTTTGTGTTTTGTTGTTTGATGGCATTTCTGAACTGGGAAAAAAATCAAAATACACACACGAAGAATTGCTTTTCATTCATCCTTTTACAGCCATTATTTACAATGTTCTTGTTTGGAGCATTACATAGGCTTTGTTTGGGGACAACGCGTTAGCATTTTCGATTTTTTTAATGGTGTAGATTAACTTTGAAAATGCTAAATCAAAATGATGCAGTTTTGGGCAGTTGGATAGTTTTTTTCAAAACACTGAATCTAAAAGGTATTGCCAATACAAACGAGCACACGATGAACTGAATCAAAATGACACATTAAACTTTCTTTGCTTCTTACTTTCTAATTTCTATGGAGTTTTGGGCACTAAATGCAACAATGCATATAGGGTCTAACCGGAACAGCCTCCCTATTAGTATGAAGTCCTTTTGGGTAGTGTCTAAACTCATGAGACCGCGGGGGATTGGCCCAAGCGATACGATATCATACTAATCCGTGCTGTGAGTTTTGTAATTTTTGGTTCGAGGGAAGGATTGTTGGGGTATAATTAGCTTAAATACCACGTTGGGAAATTAACGAGACGTGCAGTGACCTTTGAATATAGCTGTCCACTAAACTGAATTGAACTTCACTGCTTCGAGGCCTTTCGATATTTGTTCAAATTAAATTTGTACGAGTTTGGCCGAAAGTGAAGAATATATATTGCCTTTGACACTCCTAACAACATCAATTTGCATCTTTGTTCCAGTTTGATTCAACGCAACTTGTTATTGCAGATAGTTGTTGACTTCACTGCTTCTTGGTGCGCTCCCTGTCGATTCATCGCTCCATTCTTGGCAGAGTTGGCCAAGAAACTGCCTGATGTTGTCTTCCTTAAGGTGGATGTGGATGAACTGAGCGTAAGCCAAAAACTACACCACTCAAATAAATCGTTGGATAACATTTTCAAAACGTTGAAGTTGAACACTAATATCTAACGAAGCCCGACCCTTAACCTTTATTTACCAAAAAAAAAAGAAAAAGAAGAAAAAAGAAGATGAAATGTATAAAAACCAGTTTGGTGCAGGTTTAATATATTGGTTAATGGGATACAATGTTTCCCTTTTGCAGGATGTTGCAAGGGATTGGGCCATTGAAGCAATGCCAACCTTTATGTTTATAAAGGAAGGGAGCATTGTTGATAAGGTTGTGGGAGCAAAGAAAGAAGAATTGCAGCAGACCATTGCCAAACACATCACTGAACCAGCTTCAGGCTCCGCCGCGTCTTCTTCGTAGTTCGTGTTTCCATGTCCTTACTTCATCTTTTTTTATTAATTCAAAACAAATTAGAGTTAATTTTTGCACATTCGAAATTCTACGTTGGCCCTCGCACAATCGTCTTAAGTTTGACATATTTTTATTATTATAATTTTTTTTTGAAGAATTTTGTTTGAAATTTGAGAAATCATTTCATGGCATCTTTTAAATTTCATAGAAATTGTGTTCTCTTCCCACTATGGATGATAATCCAACCCAAACTCGGTTTCAAACGACCCGGCCCGACTTTGAAGTATCTGAATTTGGATTGAAAATAAGTACCGAACTCGACCCGTCTAAATTACTCCCGAACCAAGTTAGGCTGGGTTTGGATTCGAGAATTTACCAATACGACGCAAAACCGAGACACTTTATATGTTGATTGTCATCCCTACTTGCAACCGAAACACACTTTACATGTTGTGCTGATAAAAATGTCTATACGAATATATAAATGTAAAAAAATTGAAAATAACTAAGAAAAAATGAACTAAAAGAGATTAATTCAATAATAATATACTCCGTATATACTCCCATTAAAGTCTCAACCTCACTATACTCTTTTTCATTCTCATCTTTCTCCTTTTGTGTATGTATGTATTGAAAATTGTACATTTTTGGACCCCTTCAAACATATCTCATTGGGTTGTGCTGCAAATTGCTTCCACTTTCAAACGCTTCAACATATCACTGCATGGGTCTCCAAATATCCAGTTTCCCACTGTCACTGAACAACTTGCTTTTCCCACACATTCCTGCCATAGTTTCACCATTTGTTAATGCAAGAAATTTTGGGACCCACAAGAAAAAAAGAATGGCAAGGATCTTCTGACCCTCAAATCGAGAGTCATATTTTGACATGAATACCTACGGTGCTCCGTCGGTAAAATTGATCGTTTCTACCCCCAGCCCCCTACTCAGCCTCTAGCTTCCCTCCAAATTTCCGATTTGCCAGGTCAAATCGACAATTTAGGGGGGTGCTGGGATAAGATTTGGAGGGTAGGATCAGTGACCACAGACACTATGTCTGTGTTTGCCTGGTGTACAAATGGGGTAGTCCATTTTGGTGTACTCTTAGCATGACCCAAAAAATAAAATAAAAATTGATACCTTCTTTAAGATGGTGTAAGAGTTAGGAGCATGGCAAGGTCCATGGGAGAATTTCCCACAGGTTCCGAATGGCGTTCCAAAGCTTGCAAATTTGATGGAGGAGATATACTGGCAGGGCCCGCATTTTAGTTTGGCTTTGCGAAATTTTTCTTTATTACCCGATCTCTCAATCTGCAGGTTTCTTACATTTGGTTGAAATTCAGAAACGTCTGCACAAACACTCCTTACTGATCTCTTCACCATAGCAATTCTTGATGGGTCTCCTCTGTGTTCCTCAAACACCACCAAAAGGTTCCCTCTTGGTCTCAACCAAGATCTAGGCACATGGTAACTGAAAACAATTTTTTATTTTAATAAAAAATTCTAAATTATTAGGCATTAATAAAAACCACCCATGTACATGTGACATTGAGTTTCAATGTCATATGACTCGGGTCTCCTACATTGCTCCGTTCGAAAACTTGATGTTTCCTACTCCTCTAACCCCCTGGACCAGTGGGCCCCCTCTCCTTCGCCGATTAGTTATAGTGGTCACTGTATCGGCGAAGGAAGGGGGGAGGGGGTAGGAACCATTAATTTTACCAACGGAGTCCCGTAGGAGGCTCGAGTCATTTTATGACATTGAGTTCAATGTCACAGGAACCGGCTCGTTAAAAGCAAGATAAATTTTATATAGGCAAGCTTACAATTGTTGAGTTGGATAACCACATCCAACTTGGTTCTTTAGAGGCTTATACCGTCCCGCATAATCGCCGTTGTTTGCCGTGCAATTTCCGGTGGCCTTGGTGGTCCAGTATCGACCGATGCTCTGACCATTGATCCACACCTGACCTTTCCCCATGCTACGCATGTTCAAACTCAGTGGTTCGTCTCCCTCGGGTTCGTTGAAATACGACTGCAAGAAGAGTAATCCAGTTATTCAATTATATATCCCTTTCGTCCCAAAAAATAAACTTCACACTTTTCTTCTGCATGTCTCAAAATAAACTCCACACTTTCAACTTTCCAACATTTTTCTCAAATTATGCGAAGTCAGATTATGAAATTTATCTCGGGACAAAAGAAACAGACGAAAGCCGCATACCTTGTACCACGTTAGGGCGTTATGCTTTTTGTTCGTTGATGCCACTCTCCGCCACCGGACAGAGTTGACATAGGGAGGAGAATAAAGCTCCATGGCTTCTCCGGCGAGCCCTATCTGGTATGTCCATCTTCCATGGGACAAGTCCCATTTTCCATTGTCTAGTCCATATATTGCAACAGCCCCCAATATCCCAGTGTCCCATTCCTCAAAATGGGTACCAATATTCTTCAAAAAAAAAAAAACAAAACAATTGAAGCTTATTACGACTATAACTTTGAGCTTCTGGTTTAATTGGTTCCTTGACATAGTTTGAACCTCATTGTTATTCAGGTTTTAAATAAAGGATAAAAAGGAAGGGACTCGACCAACCGGAAGTCCAACAGCCACACTGAGCAGTGCAATCCGATTTTTTCCGGCACGGAGTTTGACCTTTCCGCTAAAGACGAACTTCTTATGTTCCCTGGTGCCTGAGGCAGAACCTACAACAACAACATCATTGAATGCTCCATTGTTAGTTATACTATAAGGCTCTTCTTGGTATACAGAATTCAAACTATATGTGGATTTGGAATTGGTAGTGTCTAAAATGAATTGGAATCGGAGTTCTCAATTCCATCCAAATCAATTCCATAAAATTTTAACTCCCGATTCAAATCCAATTTCGTCAATTCTGTCCATCAAACAGACCCTAAAAGTTATTCCTCCTGTCGTCGTTTGGTTTTGGGTCAGGATCTCATAAAATTCTATACAGATATTAGAGTGTACCTGAGAGTTGTCCATTGACAAACACAATAAGAGCATGCCCTTCTGATTGAACCAAAAGAGTTGGGAGCTCTCCATTGTGCAGAAATGACTTTGATGATGGGATGTCCACTCTGCAAAGTCATTAGAGTAAATTTCATAAATGGTGGTTTCCGAGCACCTCAATTCTAAGACATTACGTAAATGAACCTCGAGTCTTGAAAGCGATTCCATAATTGCTCCTTCAGAGACTATTTGTGGAAAAGATATTTTCTCATATTTTGTTTAAACTACGGAGTACTATTTATGGAATAGTTTTCCTGAATTGAAGAGCATTTATGTATTGTCTTAGAATTAGGGACTAAATATAGAAAATCACTTGTAATTAGAGACGATTTATAGAATTTACTCATTATTTTTTTCATACTAATAATGCATAGATTGTGACTTAAGGGCATATATAGTATTCCCTTCGGACACAGTTTGACTTTTTTTGTCAAACTGTGGTATCCTTTGACCGCAAATTATGGAAAAAATATATTTAGTTATAATATGAATTTAGAAAAACTGGGCTTATTTTAAAATATTGTTTTGAAATATTAAATTTTTTAAAATTTAATTATTATAAACTATATTTAATTTATGGTAAAAGAGAACCACAGTTTGACCAAAAAAGTCAAACTGTGACAATTTTTTATGGACGGAAGGAGCAGTTACTCATTGTGACTTACGTGGTTGTGTACCACAAATAATCACTAGCGTCCCTAGTAACATTGATTTGATCCAAGAGGCCATAGGCTGTGAATGATTTGGAGACCCCAATGGAATTTACATCTTCACTGTAAAATTCCCATGGTGACATTTCTGCATCTGTTGGTAACATTCCCATTTCTGATGTTTGTGCCCCAACCTGCAAGTACCCAATTTCACACTATTTAGCAATTTTCAAGTTACTTTATATAAAAACACACTAAGAGAGAAATGTAGCCATACTTGTGCAGTGTTAAAGACTACAGTCCTGCAGTCAGGGAGAATGCTGATGGACCAAGGTGGCAACTTATACTTCACATTGTTAAAAGTCACCGTCACGGAGGAGTCTGTGTCGTAGTTTGAGAGAAACGCCGCACAGCCTCCTGAAGCCCAAGCATACGTATGAGCCTGAAAAAGGAGTCAAAATTCGTCTACGGCGTTGTTGATGAAGTAGAAATTCGTGTCGATAGGGGGGCAATGGTACCTGTTGGAAGGGTCCTAAAGATGTCACGGTAGGATCTGACGAGACCAATGCTCCTTCGCATAGCTTAACGGCTCTGTGAAGCTCCTTCAAGTGGCCATACTTTGGCTGCCTGATCAACCCTGGCATTGGATGTATCAAAACTAGTGATATGTGTTTCTTAAAAGTGAGAAGAAATTTGAGTTCAAACTTTCCCTTTGGCTAAACAAAGTTTGCTCGGCGAATATTGGCCACGTGATGGTGTGCGCTTCGCCAAACAACGGTGGTTAGGAGCCGTTAGATTTAGGCAAAACGTAAAGACTTGTAATAATGGCTCGCGACGGTTTTCAATAAATCAAATAAACCAAAAAAAACCAAAGTAGTGGTTAAATGTCTTATGGTGTTTTTACACTCTAATAAGAGTAAACATTATTACACTAGTCAACCGAATAACAATAACAACGATCCTAGTGTAAGTCCACAAGTAGGATCATGTAAATTCTTACCGTACTCGTCGAGCGGAGCATCAAAGTCATAGCTCGTAGTGATAAAAGGACCTCCCGCAGTGCGTCCAAAGTTGGTTCCTCCATGGTACTAGTGACATGATGGATAGACAAGATAGAAAGAATGACAATTACTCTGTATTTAATAAAGACAATAATGTTCTTTGCAGTTTTGGTTGTAACTGAAGTTTGGAGTCTACTAACTAGAGTTTGTTAACTGTTAATTAGAGTCTAGAACTTGATAATTGAAGTCGTTTAGAGATTGAAATTTGAAACGTGTATAAGTAGAATGTAAAATTGGAAAAAAAGATTTTCCAAACCATTTGTTTTCATGGATTAAAATTACATTAAAGGACACTAACCATGTAGTAGTTAACAAATGAACCTCCTTTTTGCATGAAATTGGCAACTGCAAATGCGATGTCTTCAACTCGCCGCTCGTATCGTGCACCACCAAATACAGAAAACCTTGCAATATAATAAGAATTTTTTTAAAAAAAAACTTATAAACCATTTATAGAAAAAATAAAAAGATTTTTGGGACAGACTTAAAAAATTAAAATAAAAAAAAGACAAATGGGGTACATTTACATACCAACCAGTCCAATTTTCAGTCCATATTGTGGGCTTGTAAGGCCTGTTGGGGAAGAATGCATCACAATAGAAACCATTGCATGTGTTGATCTGTAAGAAATGACAGAAAAGCCCTTAACACGGTTTAATACTTGAAATTGTTAATTACGAGTAATTCAATAATATTTCTGTATTTATCGTCAAAAATCGGGAAATTTAATCTTAAAAGGTCAAATTTTATCTCTCTCCTCTCAATAAATTTTGTTTACTTGCGCGATTTCATTAAATATTTGATAAAATAAAACATTCTTGTCGCATCTTGTTTTGTAAAACTTTTGACGTAGTTTTTTAATAAGTAAATTTTTTTCTTATTGATATACCAATTTATAAATAAAATAATTTTAAAAAAAGTGAAAATTTTCTTCGTAAATCTCAATTTGTAATTAAATGAGGGACGGAGAGAGTATAATGAAATAGAAAGAATATATTAAATGGAATGGGTACCACAGGATCAGGGGCATCTTCTTGCTTGCACATCACCCAGGGGACACCAGTGCCCGTTTGGAGGGCCATATTTGCGGCCCAATGAGCATACTGATACCCTACAGGCCCAAGTGCCTTCCCTTGGTTCCCATACTCATTCTCAATCTGCAATAATTAAAAGAAAGAAAGAAAGAAAAAACCCCAATCATTACAATTAATTAGCTTTAATTATAACAAAGAAAGATGAAACAAGTTTGGTCAAAAGTTGTTGACCTGTGTTAGAATAATTGGGCCTCCTTGAGATGCAAACAGCTCATTCATCTTCATCAAATTCACAATTTTCTCCGTGAATTCTTTCATGGCCACCTGTCATTTTCATCGTCTCTCTTATTTAACCCTTACATTTTATTTCTGTAAACCAAAACACCATTCATAAACGGACCGGACCTTGAAGGGCTCGTTATCCGTTCTGAAGCTAATGCCGGGAACATACTTAAGCCACACGGGAAAACCTCTGCACATTCAAAACAAAGGATGAAACTAAAAACTAAAGTTAATATCAAACGAGACTTGTAATTTCGGGTAAAACGTAACGTAATTACCCGAAATTCCATTCGGCGCAAACATATGGCCCGATGCGAAGATGGGCATAAAGCCCGGCCTTCTGGATCGTCTTCACGAACCTCACCAAGTCATTTCTCCCTTCAAAGTTATACTGCAATTCATCCGTATAAAACCGAACCACAAAATGGAAAAAAAATGATAACAGTAACAACGCTAATAAAAATTCGACAAGAAAATCGGTCAAGAAAAGACTACATTGCCCTGGGAAGGTTCGTGAACGTTCCAGAAAACGTAGGTCTCGATCACATCCAACCCTCCTTCTTTAGCTTTGATGATAAGATCTTCCCACATCTATATGATTGCCAAAAATAAAAAAAATGAGAATACACACTGCTTTCTTCGTCCCAAAAAGAAAAGACATCCAATTTCGTTTTCCAACGAGTTTTAGAAAAAGTCAAACTGTACACAGTTGAACTAGATTATGCAGATTCCGTGAGAGAGAAAGAACACGAGACGAATAGAAAAAGAAAAACAGGAAAATAAAAAAAAAAGAACTGTGTATATATCAAGATACTTATTCAACTAAAACTCAAACTTGTCGTAATGAAACTATACCTCAGGGGTACTTCGGGGATAGTGAATGGAGCCGGAGATGAGTAACCTCCGGCGGCCATTTATGACGATGGCCTTCCGATCATAGTTGACGACGCTGCAATGGATCAACGGCACGAGGAGGAAGACGATGACGACCACCCTGCACCGAAACACGCTACATTTCTCCTCCATTATCATACCCTTCTTCGCCAGGCCAGCTTACTTCTCTCTATATATTTATATAAATAAATAAATAAATTCAACTGTATATGTGTGTGTGTATATATATATATATATAAAAGTAAATATAAGTTTTATTTTTTTGTTTTGTTTGCTGGTCTGAATAAAAGAAAGCAAGGGCGGCAGAGTCGTACGTCAACTCCGGGACTGGGACGAAATTAAACAACAAAAGTCTTCTATTTAATAAGTACCGCATCATTATCTTATTTAGTAATTTACCTAAATAGGACTAAAACATAATGACTTTCTCTAGATAGGACCATATGTTTTTATTTCTCAATTTAGGACCTTTGGTCATTATTAATTAGTCATTATTCAAGTAAATGTCCATCATTGCTGGGCATTATTCCTTCCACGAAGACATTATTAAGTTCTATTTAAGGAATAAAAAAGTTTAAGTCCTAGATTAGGAAAGTCATTATGTTTTAGTCCTATTTAGTGCAAATTTCACTATCTTATTTTAGATAATAAATAAATAAATTTTAAATTTTCTTTTTAAGTAAATAACTACGTGGTTGATATTAATTTTTTTTCTTTTTAAAATATATCTGAATACATGTCCACTCCCCAAGATTCATGGAAAAATGTGAGTCATTATATGGAAAAATGTATGGAAAAATACTACCGAGTACATTGTAATCGAGTCAATAACACTAAAATAAAAGAAAGTCAAAGACCTTGTGGTCGAACGAAATAATTGTATGTCACAGGTTCGAACCGCAATAGGGATATGGCCGTTTTATGCTTCGATAAATTGAAAAAAAATGAATGAATTATATTGTTATCATATAGAGTTAATACACTCTTCATCTCAATACAAATTGTTTGCTCCTTATTTATGATGTTTGACTATAGTACTTTTCAAATTATTTTATATGCAAAATGGTATTCGATTAAAAAATAAAAATAAATATTTAAAAACTAGATCAAAAGATCTACGAAATTAGTGGTGACTTGACTATATCGTTTTATCAAACGATTAATGAAAATAAAGAAAGAAAGTGAATGAAATTTACCCTTCTGAATAGTAAACAAAAAAAGTTAATTTGGGACGGAGATAGTAGTAATTAAAAAATATCAACAACTAATAAATGTTTCTACATTGATTTTTTTGCCTTATTTAAACGAATTTAATGTGTTAGATTTTAATGATAGGAAACCGCGGAAAAAGATTACGGAGTAATATTATAGGCAAAAACCATAGAGGGAGAGTGTACTTTTTTTTTTTTTCAAAATAAAAGATACAACTACTCTGTATAATCTATTTCGAGGTTTTAACTATAGCTTTTTTTGTTTTTACACATATTTATTGATAATTTGATCAAATAATATAAATATGTCACATATTGGTTTTTTTTAATTTTTAAGTTTGAAAACAATTTTTTAACACTAATAATTGTTACTCGTAAAATATAGTATCTCTTTATATACAATTTCAATTTATTAAAACTCATAACGTTACTCTAACTCGTTAGGGTTCGCTTTTGTGACTTCTCGTTTTGGAGAGTCGCTATAATAGTCCCGCCTCGAGCAAATTTTGAAACAAATTTTAAATAGAAAATATATATTTCTATTTTACTTAAACCTTATGCAAAGTCAAAATCTTAAAAATAAAAATGGGATGAAGGGAGCATTATCCATTATTTTATAACAAAACTAAGCTCTTTTTGCTAGAAGTACTAATATAGTTCATTTTAACATTGTTATTAAATCTTGGTAACCGTTTAATATTGAAGAGTATAAATGGTAACAAACTTGATGTATTCTAAATTTATCATTTATAAAAAACGATATGAAAGGTTCTTCTCAAAATTACGGAAGATCTTTTGCAATCGTTGTTTTAAAACTGATGCAAAAAATATTTTGCGTCGATTGTTTAGAATATCGATAGTTTTGAGATAGTCTACATATTTGCTTATTTTTTAAGTTATTATCATCATTACTATTGTTGTTGGTTATGACTTTATTTTTTGAGCATCAATAACTCCATTACAAGGTAGTACTCATCAATATATTCTTAATTTTTCAACTCTTTGAAGCCTATAGAGTTATTGTCCTTACTGTGATGAAACATATGACCCCTAATTTGGGAGAGTCATAAGGCATGTTTGAAAATATCGTTAGAGATTAATGTTAATATTCTGAAAATGCTACCGAACAAACATCGTTTAGCGTTAGCATTTTCAAATTTAATATGCATCGTTAACACTTTATCCAAAATGCTAACGCTAATTGAAAATATTATTTTCAAATGGGCCCACAACGGTGTCATTGGACTAGCTACAAGGTCTTTGACGTGTTGTTGTTGTTGTTATTATTATTATTATTATTATTACTATTATTATTATCATTATCATCCTCATCATCATCACAATATTTTTTAAAAGGAGTACATTGCTGGGTAATGTATGGATTTGTGGGGCCGTTGAAGGCAAAAGGCTTCATTTGCGGGGTCAATGCCTAATTTCTTTTCAATGATGTTACTTAATAGAGCATATCCATCCTAAATGCTTCCCAACAGCTTTTTTTTTGGAAAACATTGATGCCTCCACCAATATAAAAGGATGACCCCGTTCGACTCCCTCAAAACCGATCTGACAGTTAATGAGAGAAGATAAATTAAATTTTGATCGTAAATTAGTGACAAAGGGTGCATCCTGCACCTGAAAACCTCGTACTTGTAGACGCGTTATGTTTAGCATAGTTACCACTCAACATAGTTGTAAGGAATCAAACTCGATTTTACACCCTTAACAGGAATATTTGCATCGCTATTGATGATGTAAAGGATCTCTCGAAGAAACGATTTCTTCTTGTAGCACCAACGTTTCTCGTGTTTTTTTCAAGGTATCTTTAAAATTGAATACTTTGGGGTAATAATAATAATGTACTCGGGTATTTTTCTGTCTTGTAAGACTTTTCAATTTTTTCATCTCACATTTTTTTGAAAATTTTAATTTGACTTGTATAGACACAATTGCCTACTCTTCATCATCTTTCTAGTAGAAATTAAGATTTCATTAATGACCCACGAGCCTATATTATATATTATCGTATGTACATGGAAGCATATACTTTGTCATGGTACAACTAAAAGAGGTATCAGATTTTTTTCAGTTTGATTTCCACAAAAAATTTCGTGTTTATAGTATTATAGTGAAAAAATAATTTTTTTATTAAAAATATATTTAACTCGAGTATTAAAGTTTGATAACAAATTGTAGGGGCAGCTTAGTAATTTCAAGTATTAAAGTTTGATAACAGAATTGTAGGGACAGCTTAGTAATTTCATTAATTCTGCTCCCGTCTCCTTCAATTCCAGTATCCCCCTTCCCCAATTCTCATCACATTCCTGTACCCATGGGTTTCGGAGCCCTAAGATCCGTCGCCCGACCCGTTTCCAGAGCCCTCCTCTCTCACCGTAACGCCTGGCCTTTTTCCTCCATAGCGTCTCTTGCCACCTTATCATCTCTATCGCCTGAGGTCCGGTGGATTTCCGGCCCTAAGCTTCCGTGGATTCCGCCGTCCTCCGCCTTCCACAGCCTAACGGACACTCGGTACCCGAAGCGGAGACCCGTCGACAAGCCTAAGCGCAAACGGCCAGTCCCGGAACCTCCTGGTATCTTCTCATTTCAGCCTTTCTTCCCTTTTCTACCGCTGCAATCAGGGTTTTAAAGGGTTTACCCTTACCTTTATTTCCGAGGATTCCCGCATCTGCAATTGGAAAATTTGCGTCTGTGTTAACCTATTATAAGCATAGCTGAAGTGAATGTAAAGGGATTACTGGAATTGCTGAGCCTTTAGTGATGGTGGCATTCTATTGCTCGTAGCTGGAATTGTTTTTACTCATGTAAATAGCTAATTTGGATAGTTCTTAAGGAAATTACTTCTTAAAGGTTGAATTTGGTGATATTAAGACTTTCTGAGTACATGACATCTAGTAGGATTTCTTGGAGGCATTTTACTGGGGTTGTAGAGTATTTGAAGAGTTTGAAAGTGGGTAGTGAGTTGAGGTAGACAAGAACAACTAGCCTCGTAAAATCCCACAACAGTAGGGTGTGCAGAAGGTATGTGTACGTCGGCCTTACACCTACTATGAAGTATTGAAAATAATTCCAAGAGTCCTCCGGCTCAAACACAGTCACACAGAAGCACAGTTAGAGTAAATACAATAGCATAGACAAAGTAAGAGCTCAGGAAGCACATATACACCAGCTACAAACTAAGTTTAAAACACACGACCATAAACTACAAATCAAGGCCCAAAGGTCTACCTAATTGCTCAAGTCTTAGATCTCTACATGTTATTATCTAAGGCCATATCTTCTGGGAGATCCTAAGTCTTGTCTGATAATCTTCTTCCTACTCTTCCTAGACACTAATCATAAATGGTGCTTTCATACGATCCTATAGTTTTTACAATAAATATGTACTCCGTCTATTAATTTTACATCTACCCCTTTTTCACGCCCACCATCGCATATCTCTCACATCTCCTCCTTGGGGATTTGCACTTCTCCTCTTTACGTGTCTAAACCACTTCTTGAGCTGTGGTAGACAGTTTTTTTTACTCCTCGCACTACCTGGAAACATCAAGTTACTAAATCGTGTGTCATATCATAAGTTCATCTGGTCCTATTAGTAGTTAGGGGTGGAACAATTTGAATCAGAGCTAATGTCAGAAACTGTTGCTCACAACAAAGATCATCAAGTTGGATCGTTGGTCTTTGCTCGATTTGGTCTTTGAAAGGCACAACGGGTCGGAATTGAGAACAGGCCATTGGTCATAACCTATGAAAGAAAAGTGAACAAAAGTTTTATATAGAGGTACGTTTTAGAAACTTCACACATAAGCCTAAGATCTCATGTTTAATAGCCTTGCTTGAGTTGAATGGGAAATAATTGCTTTCTTTGGTTTAGTTTGTAACACTTCATGAGAAAATGAAGTTCCCCATAATTTTAGAGTTTAATCTTATGATGTAGGCCCCTATTCTGGTGTTCCTAGGCGATTGCCTCATGATCCAAAACCTCAAAAGAACCCCAATCAAGGAAGTGTTAAGAGAAGGAACGAGAAGAAGAGAATCAAGCAACGCAAGGCTTTTATTTTGGTATGTGCTTAAAAGTTGCAACAATATCTCATGATCTTCTTCCTCTCGTGCTTATTCTCCTGGTATGATGCAATATCTTGACTGCTTGTTTATTGCTTTATGTTTCGAATTATGTTCAGTTTTACCTTGGAAAATAGGAAAGAAAATCAAATTTGATTTAAACTCTTTAAAAAAACTGTTTATTTAAAAAATATAAATAAGGCGAGGTTGATGTTTTTTTTAAAAAACATCTAAAATTTGTTAGATGAGTTTGAACCAGTATTATATTTCCACTCACACTTTCTTTCCTTTCGAATTCCCCTTATATTTTCTCTCTCTGATTGGTTTCCCTAGCATTTTTCATGTTCCAAACAGACCATTAGGTGTAGGCTAAAGGAATACCCCACAACATATTTATGGGTCTAGGAATTATGGAGTATATGTATAGTTAATTTAGCTTTTGGCTATTGGTTTTTTAGAGAGTGTTGGAAACTGTTAATTTGGCTATAGTTAATTTAGCTTTCTGCTTCTCTTTATAGCTTATGGATTCAGAGTTCAGAAATGTAAAATGGGCTTCGATATTGCTTTTCAGCAAAGCTAAGACTTGTTTCATTTCGCTTCTGAAATATAACTTTGTTTTTTCAAGAGTCTACTACAACTCCAAACATTCTCTTAGAGCATCTTCAAGGGATAGTGTAAAAGTTGGTAGTGTAAATGCAATTTTACACTATCAACAGTGTTTTACACATCTACTTTTTTATACTTACTCCAACCATATCTTTTATATTATACACTTTTGTAATATTTTATTATTTTGAGTTAGTTATGCATAATAATTAGAGCATTTTATTTTTATAATCACCTTTATTATGTGCAAAATCGAATCAATTTTTTTTGTATAATCTAATTAATCTATTGTTAAAAATTTCATAATATTATTTAAAAGTAAATATCTAAATAATTAGTTGTTCATTTTTAATTTTTTTGATAAAATTGGTAAACTTTGATCTTAAATCAAAACTGGACAAATATTCAGAAGTAGTAGGATTTTCATTTTAGAAAGATTTTCTCTCAACATTGGATAAGATATCTATCCACATAAAAGGATAAAATAATTAGCCATCAACACAATTAATATAAATTCCAGCATTTTACCTGAGAAAGGGAATGAGCATAGCAGCACCGGTGATTTTGGATTGAAGAAGACAGCAGAAATGATAAAGAGAGGAGGGGGAGAGAGTGACGAGAGATAAAAAAGGGCCACAGAATAATTTTAAAAACTATTTTCCCTATCTACAGTAACTTGTAGAAATAGAAGGTGTGGGTTGCTTTTTGCACTATAGTGCATTTTATCATCACATTTACACTATCCATTGGAGTGAGATAAAATGAAAAATAAAGTGTAAAAAGTGTATATTTTACCATATACCCAATGCATTGGAGATGCTCTTAGCATTGGTAGTGGAATAACATTTTTAAAGTAGTTCAATTGGTTTGAGTTTGATGACGGGCACATCTATTTTATTGGGATTAATGGCTGCATAAGCATTGCTGATCATTATTGATTTCTTATTTAAATGCAAACTTGCAATGGGAAAAATGTGCTGCTCTCATCGAGTGACCTGCATCGATAAACAGATTTTAGCTGGTTTAGACTTAAGTAACTTAGTCTAATGAACATATTGGATCATTTAGATATAGTGATCCTTCAGTGTGGAATATAACCCAGCCCTAACAATCCGTAGGGCTGATCGAAAACACTTTTTGTTCATTTGATCGAAAACACTTTTTGTTCATATTTCATTTGATCGAAAACATATTGGATCATTTGGGTAAATGAAACTAAAAAAGTTATTAGGTATTTGATCGAAAACACTTTTTGTTCATATTTCATTTCACGTTGAAAATATGTGAAGTAAAGCCAAGCATGATAAATAAATGGCCTTGCCAATTTTGTCCTATTTCCTAGCAGTTTTCAATAATCCAAACAAACCCTATGAAACACTGGAAGAATAAGTTCAGAACTCAGCTAGAAAAAAATTGTTTGAAACTTTCAAGGATATAAAAAATGGGGAAAATAAAATAAAATGCTCCAAACTGAATATATCATACTGGGTTGTTGTTACTCCAAACTCATTATATCAGTTTTACACCTTTGTATAAGTTGGTCTGAGGGTTGGGTTAGTGGGGGGTTTTTTTTGGTTAGTGTGTATACATAGACTTTATTTCTACCTATAGAAACATTGAAAAAAGTATAGTTTTCGTTTCCTCGTCTTCTTCTGCAATCTCAACGTAGCCTAATTAAATCTCTTTTGTTCCAAGACCATATCGTAAACATAAATCATTTTGCTGGAGAGTTGTTTTTATATTTCCTCTGCATAAAGTTTGATTCAAACCGTGTGCAGTCTGAAAAGAAGAAGCGCACGGCTTTAGTGCAAGAAGCAAAAAGGAAGAAACTGATGAAAAGAGTGGAGCGAAAGATGGCTGCAGTTGCAAGGGAAAGGGTGTGGGTTGAAAGACTAGCAGAATTGAAGAAGCTTGAGGAAGAGAAGAAGAAGGAGGCTGCCATAGCTTAGCCTTCCTCCTCTCTGCAAAATGCAAACAGGTCTATAACAAGGTTGGTTGCTTGATTTATGGAGATTGTTGCTCCTTTCCTCGGTGTTCGTTAAAATAACAAAAATGTCAGTTTTTTATATAGATTATTTAGTTCAAAATGGAAATTACAAAGGAATTGAAGTTTGATCTGAGTGATTTCAATTTCGATGCATATCTCCCTTGGAACTTCGTTGAAACCACCTCTTCCTTTCATAGCAGCAGTAAGCTTGAATCCGTGTGTTAAGCGAGATACAAGTCGAATTTAGGATAAAAGCTAAACTAATACATACCATATTACAAAACATAAGAGAATGATTATTGGGAGCAATGCAC